TTTGTATTAACAGGATATACGATGCATTTCCGTTACCATGGTAATATACCATCTCCTTGGCAAACCCAAATGCAAGGCATGTTGGTGCACTGCAAGACAGGACAACCTAGTCCCGCAACAAGTAATAATACCTGCTTTGACATTGAACGTTTAATTACGCGGTATTGTAGTGTCATATGTGGTATCCATTCCAGGCACTTGAATATCCTGGGTTCGTCTTGCAGACATAGGTCTAGTTTTCAAGCCTTTATGTGTACATTGTTATCGCCCTGTCTTTCTTGTATTATCATTAGAGTCATCCGGGCAATTATGCCGTACGTACCAATCAAATGTAAGGAACATTTGTTACATTACGTCATGTCGTGTGCTGTAATAATACATTGTACAGTCACCGCTGGGAATATCTAATATAGCCATACTTCTACACAGCAATTACTAGTAATCCTGTAACACTACTAGACATTCACCCACCTGTTGAATACTAGTACAGTACAGAAATCACATGTTGAATACTCTTACAGTACAGTAATCACATGTTGAATACTAGTACAGTACAGAAATCACATGTTGAATGCTAGTACAGTACAGAAATCACATGTTGAATACTAGTACAGTACAGAAATCACATGTTGAATACTAGTTCAGTACAGAAATCACATGTTGAATACTCTTACAGTACAGTAATCACATGTTGAATACTAGTACAGTACAGAAATCACATGTTGAATACTCGTACAGTACAGTAATCACATGTTGAATACTCGTACAGTACAGTAATCACATGTTGAATACTCGTACAGTACAGTAATCAAATGAACTCATCGCATAGTTGTTGCAGCATCCTCTACCCAACATCCGGCCCCTTCATCGAGGCATATTTAATACGTTCCGTTCATGGCGTTCTAACTCATGCACAACTTTACGGATGAGTACGGACAGTATATACATGATATAACTGTAACAGTGGTGTGTGTTCAAAACTGCGAAATAGTTGTATATCTCCTATCGTATACGAGACGTAGGTTGAAATTCCGATCATATGGTCACTATAAACATACTACAAGGTACATTTTAACGCATTTTTTCTCGTAGGTAGATTTACAGATCCAATGTTTGATTACCAGGAAATGGAATATAACTTCTGCGTCCATGTTTCATCCCAAAGCACCCCTTCATTTTCATGTGTTCATTTATTAAATGTAATAACATAGCATACATAAACAGTATGATGACACCAAAACAATATACTAATCAGTGTTATATTTTGTATTTAGGATAACTGAAAAATATTTAGATAACACTATTTATGTAAAGCTTGACCTTGTTGTTTCTTTCATGTATTATCTTAATTCTTATGTAAACAATAAATACATTATAATAACATTCATTCATTATGGCACCATTATTTTAGTCTACATTAAGGTAATGGTGCATTATGGGTATAGCATTAATCAGATCAAGTTCAACTGATAAATTTATACTAAGCAATCAAAGTGATAATTCTGATAATTCCCATTTATATGTGTCGGTGTCTCCCATAG